CCGTCAATGGGTTTTCTCGACAGAGAAGAGGGAAACTGTAGAAAACCTCTCCTGAGTACAACCGGTTTATCGACTGCCGAGTTTTAACGGTGTGCACTGGACAATAATCGACAGTGCACATCATTATACCTCGACTTCAAACCTCCCGCTTGAAGCAGAGTCTACATAGCTATAGATATACCACAGCATGCTTTAGTATACCTATAGCTATGAACACCGATGCGCACCTTCTCTCATTGTAGACTCTGCTTGATATATTACGAAAGTAGTGAGAAAACACCGGGCTATAGCGAAAGTCGAAGCGCGGTCACCCATCCAAGTACTAACCGCACTGGATGTCGCTTAACCTCGATGATCGCAAGCCACGGAGTCTCACCACCGTAATTAATATACCATCGGTTATACAGATTAACTATATAAGTTTTTAAACCAGAATAACAATTTTTATAATGTTTATTTATTTATTTTATTTATAATATTTTTACGGGCAGTGCCCATTCGTACATAAGTACTATAGTATTAAGTATTACAAAATCAAGTTGGCAACCATAATGCGAAGAATGATAGATTATTGAATTAAATTGTTACTGTTATCAAAAATCAAACAGCGTAATTTAGTTACAAATTCATTGACAGAAACACCCATAAAATCCACACTATCATGAAAATCATTAGCCTCACTACATACTCTGTTTATGACTGAATTTGATAAATAGTTGGTTCTCATGTAAGGCAATCTAAACAAAATGGAGTTTCGTGGTCATTTAACTGGTACAAAAAAGTTTAATAACGAGAGCAGATGAGAACAATTTATAATTCTATTGATAATTTTAATAATAAAGAGGAGATCGGCGTACAAAAATCGCTTTGCTAATTCCGGAATTTTCAAAATTTCACGCAATTGCGTGCAGTCATGACTAGGGACCATCCATAAACCACGTAGCTCCGATTTTTGAACTTTTCGACCCCTCCCCTCCCCCACGTAGCTTAACGTAGCATATTACCGAACCCCCTCCCCCCCTACCTAATGGAACGTAGCTTTTTTCTTTTTTTATGAATATTAAATTCTCTTTTCTAAAAATAATCAATAAAATCGTATTGAAACATAGTAAACAATATTAAATGTTTTTAAATCACAGTTTATTTTTTTCTTTGACAAGTAAGAGTTTGATACAAGACTAATTCTTAATTTTAATCGATATTTTTCTATACATATGTAAATTTTTTTATCACTATATATTTTATCAATATATGTGGACGTCCACATGAAAAGGGCCTATATTGGCGGTTCTAGTTTTCGAGATAATCACAATTTAGTAATTTTGGAGCAAAATCTTAATTTTTAAAAATTTTTTATTATCAATCTACATGTTTTGACAAGTCGACTCATGCGGTTTTCATTAATTTATCGATAATTTAACTGTTTGATTTCATTGGTTCTTTAGAAAATTGAAAAGGGCCCATTTTGGCGGTCATTTGCAAAATTAATCCGTATTTTAAAAATAGAGGTGTGGAAAAAATTTAAAACCTCTTGATTTTTCATCTTTAAGGTATCCTGGACTGTAAACAATTCTTATCTGAATAACTTCCCAGAAGAACCAGAGATATTGATGTTAGAGTCTTTTTTTCGTAATTGTCGAATTGAAAATTTGAATATTACGTTAATTTTTTCATAATAGAAACTGTCAAAAATTTTTAAATAAGTTTAATATCTATCCTTTTTCTTCAAATGACACAATTAAATTGTACCTAATAATTAATCTTGTTAAAAAATGGTTCTTTAATAGAAAAACTGTCCTTTTTAGAAAAAAAAAGTTTTTCGTATTTTCAAAATTAAGAGGGGGGGGGGATGGTTTTAAAAATTTAAAACCTGTTGGTTTTTTATCTTCAAGGTAACCGTTTTTCTCGAAATGAGGTTTTTGGCGTTCTAAACTTTTAAATTCGTAACTCAGCGAATTTTTAACCAAAAAAGTTCTAAGACCACTCAAAATTTTCCAACTTTTGCCAGGAATACGCCCATATAGATAACTCCAATAGTGTTAAAATGGACCCTTTTCATGTGGACGTCCACATATATTTCTCGACTTGACTTTCGAGCTGCCCGCGTAATTTAAAAAAAATGTATGTCAAATAAAAATACAAAGCTACGTTGCTCAGACTAAAAAACCCTCCCTCCCCCCATGTGGTCTAACGTAGCACATTACCGAACCCCCTCCCCCCCCAAAACAGGCTACGTGGTTTATGGATGGTCCCCTAAAGAAATCAAACTCGATGTTTTGTCTCCGTGCTAAAAAACGCAAAAATTTGTTTTAAGCACGTTCTATTTCCAAAATAAGGTAGTCTTGACAAGGTGACCAAATAACTTAAGCAAACTCAATAATAGGCCTTACCAAAGAAAAAAATAATAATTTTATGGCGTTTATATTTTTAAAACGTGAGACATTTCTCAAAACAAAGCCCAAGGCTCTAGTTGCCTTACTTATGTATGGTAAGATGAATGTGATTAATAAAAGTAAGCGATTGGTCCAACTGAACCCCAAGATCACGCACCAGGGTCACTCTAGCTGCTACTAAGGTAGCAGCCTAGATTGTCCTATACAATCAATTAAACTTTGGATTTTTATTTTATTTGAAGATAAAATATTAAGGTAAAAGTACCAATTATGGTACGCTGTTTAAGCTAAACTAAATTTCTATGATAAATTTCTTGGAATCGGGAGTGTTAATATGAATAATTAGGGTATAGATTGAAAGATTGATATGTTATGAATAATATTTAGACCCTAAAATGGTTATTTTTCATGAAATAAAAATAATATTAATTAAATTATGAAACTCTGCACTGCACTAATTATGGGACTATGATTTCTGTATGTACGGGTGTCCCATAATGAATGTTCCTATTATGAGACATTTATTTAATTCAATAAGTAATTAGAATTCTATTGACTTATCCTAATAATTTGAATATTAATTATAAAGAATAAAATACAATAAACAAATTCTGGTTTAAAAAATAATTATAAAACTAATTTTTCTGGTAGAAAATTAATGCGAAAAAACTGAAAATATTTGAGGTTATGTTTGCTGTATATTTCCTGTGTGTCTCATAATAGGGATAGCAAATAATAAGTGCACCTAATGTGGGACGGTAGTCTGACGAAAAACTTGGCTTACCTTAATTTAAAAGCTAAAATGCAAATAAACATTTCTTATTAAATTAAATGCTATACACAAATAATTATTCTTTTAACGTGTAAAATTTTTTGAAATAAGTAGAAATTTCTTATGACCAATTTTAATTGCATTTATTTTATTTTTTGTAATACTGTCTCATAATAGGGACAAAATTGTAAATTGTCCCATAATTGGGACCTTTACCTTATCTAAAAGCGCTTTAATTTTTATTCTTTTTTCTCTGGTTAGTTCTAATGACATATTATGAGAATCTATTATCATTCCTAGAAACTGACAGGATTTTTTTGGAATCAGATCACTCATGTTCCAATTAATTAAAAAACCTAAGAATTAAAGAATATTAATAGCTAAATTTACATTTTTTAATCATTCCTCCATGGAATCGGGACAGTTAAGTATGCGTCCTTCAGATCTAATCTACACAAAAAACACCTCATCCATGTCAGGATTTTGTTCTGAAGGAAGAGGGGGGTATAATTGGAAAGGAACGTTGATTAGATCGATTTTATAACCCTCAACTATGTTCAGTATGGTATGAGTAGAGAAAGGTAGATTATGCGTTTTGAGTCCCTCTAATTATGCGCTTAAGTTGTGCACAATTATGCGGAATTATGCGCTTAAATTGTGTACAATTATGCGGAATTATGCGACTAAAAAGATGAATTCTGCGTTAATTATGCGCTAAAATGAGCATGATTATGCAGAATTATGCAATTAAAAAGAATTCTGCTTCAATTATGCGCTAAAAAATGTTCATTTTACAAAATTATGTTGCATTTAAAAAAAAATTTTTGATTTGAAACGGTTACTGGTTATTTTTTTAAACCAACTTCCCGAAAGGCTCTATCCCGAATGTCTAAAATCACAAATACCTTTTTCCCGAATCTAATTTTCCGAAGATTTATGTACCCAAAAATTTTTTTGTTTTTGATTATGAAGTGGATATATGTATGTCAGTATGTGCGACTCCAAGTAAGAATTTAGTTTTTTCGGAGTAAGTAAACCAATTGCAATAAAATTCAGGAATTTTAATCTACACATAAAAAGAAATGTTTCCACCACACTTAATTCAGCAAAAAAACGAAACAATTGTTTATATTATGTTTATACAAATTTTTATAAACAAAACAGGTATTAAATAATAATTAAATAACTTTTGAACGACCAAACGAAATTGAATGAGGCAAACACTAAACAAATCTTTGCTGTGGTTTCTTTAAGATTCCGAAAAAAATTTTAACAACGGAAACATCTTCATATAAAATTTTGTATAAAAGTATTCGAGATTTTAGACATTTGATAAATTAGACATTTGGGACACGGCCTTTCGGGAAAATGACCGGAAACGATGTTAATCATCATATATAGCACTTACTGCTTTTTAAAATTTAAGATTTATTTAATTTTTCAATAACATTTAACAAGTTAGTTAACAGTTTAAAAACTTATTTATTATTTAATTTAAAAAAATATTTTAAAAATAAAGAAACTGAAAAAAATTTTCATGGTTTTTAGTTAAAAAAAGTACTATTTTGAAAATTTTGAGCCTATTATGCGATCATTATGCAAAAAGAGTACAATTATGCAGTGAGTAAAAAATTATGCAATATTATGCGCTCTAGAAACATGTTGTAAAAGGTTTAAAACATGAATTAACATAATATTATAATGTTTCTACTTGATTTAAAAAAGTTATGCAATTATGCAATCGCATAATCTACCTTTCTCTAAGTATGAGCGGGTCGTTTGTAATTGTTCCCCAATTTTTTTTTGAAAAATTTTAACCTGGCTGCAGTACTTACGGAGATGGAAATTAGCGACGGTTCTGGTGTGGCTGCGTTTGTAGATAAATAATTTCTTTCTGCAGGGTATGGCTTCGGTCTGTTGTTCCTGAATGTGTTTTCTCTTTGGTGGAATGACTTGAAGCTCGTCCGTCCCACCATCTTCTTTGCGGATGAGCTCTTCCAATTTAAATGATTATTTTGACGAAGAAAAGCGGACAAATTTTCAAAAAATTGTTGGATTCTCATAAAACTTAGTCACTGATTACGAATCTACAGTCAGTTATTGAAAATTAAAAATGGAGGATCTAATATGGCTGACGAATTTTAAAAAAATTGTTGGATTCTCATAGAACTTAGTATCTAGGGGTTTTCGGGGTCACTGATTACGAATCTGCAGTCAGTTTTTGAAAATTCAAAATTGATTTACTGTGACATGGATTTTTAAAAATTGTTGGATTTTTATAAAAATTAGCATTGGGGTTTTTTGATGTCGCTGATTACGAACATGAAATGTAATTTAAAAAATTCTTTACGTTACATTTAATATAGTTTTACGTAGTGTTAATTATTTTTTATTTTATTCAATGATTAGAATCTGCTATACCTAATAAGGTCAGGTACACCCAGGATATGGAAATTTATAAAAATAATTCAAATTCTTTTGAAAAATATTTTTTAAAAATAATTTTCAAAAGAAGGTTGTAAATCTGAGGAATTTTGCTATTTATGGAAATAATTGAATTCTTGAGAAGTATTTTTTCAATTTCTAGAAATAATTGAATTCTTTCGACGAATTTTAATAAAATTTTCAAGAATAATTGTATTTTTCAAGGAATTTGATTAAAATTGTATAACAAATAATTCAAATTCTGCAATAAGTTTTACAATTTATAAAAAAAATTGAATATATTGCGAAAAAATATTTATAAATAAAATTATAATTACGGTGACTAACTTCTCTTAATTATTTTCGAGAAATTTATATAAAATTATTTAAAAGAAGTTAATTATTTTTAATACATATAATGTAAAAAAATTTCAATTATTTCAAAAATATTCAATTATTTGTTTATAAGAATTTAATATTATCTTGAAACAATAGAATTGAAAAATTTCAAAAATCTTATTTTTCAGAATTTTCAAAAAACTTTGCGAAAATTCAATTTTATTAAAAAATTTTAAGTGTGTATCTTTTTCTAAATTACCTAATAAAAATTTTAATTAATAATCTTCGCACTAAGACAGATGAATACATTAGAATGTGACTCTTTATAAAATTCAATTATTTATCAATTATTAAATTAAACTACTTTGAAAATTCAATTTGTTACAAAGTTTTTAATGAAATTTTTTAACAAATTTAATTATTTTCAGTTGAATTTTATAAATTTCTATGATTTCGATAATTTTTTTAACAATTTATTTACCCTACTGAAAATCCCTGTATAAGATCTTGCACATGAAAATGCACTCGTTCAGCAGCTGAACTTGTACAAGAAAATGTACAATTTCTTGTATACGGATTTGAAACAAGTTCTTTTATAGGAACTTGTACAAGAAAATGTACAAGTACTTGTACAAGAAAAGAAACTAGTATAAGAAAATGTATATGATCTTGTACGGGTTCATGTACAAGTACTTGTACATATGAACACGTTCATGTTCTTGTACAAGTAAATTTATAAATAAATTTTTTTTAGAAAATTGGAATAAGTAAATTTTATTACGTCCGTAACTTCTTATTAATATTTCTATTTTAACTATATATTATTACTTATGTATTTAATTTCTATATATTGTATTTCATCTTTATTTTTAATGCATGTATCTTATATTTAAATATTGTATCTTATCATTATATTATATTCAGTATTTGTAATTCTTAGGTTTTAAGTTTGCATTATATTCAGTATATTTTCTAACAATATTGTAATTACATTATGTATTTCTTAAAAACGAATCCAGGAAAGAATAATATTTCAAAGTAATGTCAAAGGAATAACGATTAGGGAGAATCATATTAGTTACGCATGGCTGCAGAGGATTCAAAACAAACATCGTGACCTCTAAAGAAGGAAATTTTCCTATCGGCGTTGCGGAAGATTTAAACAAACGTTGTGACCTCTAAAGAAGGGAATTTCCTATCGGCGATGCGGAGGATTCAAACAAACGTTGCGACTTAAAAAGTGGAATCTAAGATTAAGCATTTCCACTCGTATCGACTCGCTATGTATTAGGATAATGAGGAAATTTTTATATAAAAAGGGGTAGCAGTTCTGTTTGACCAGAGAGTAACTATTTAGAAATCAACCTGAACACATCGTCCAGTACAAGAGATAGAGAGTAATTTTTTGGGAATCAACCAGTTTACATCGTTCAGTCAACGTTAGCACATCACATAATTTACAAGTGAATTCAAAGTACATCTTTGAGAGTAAACAGTATATCTCCAAGTATTCTTTTCAAAGTGCATTGTTCGAAAGTGAACAATATATCCCCAAGTGTTAAATTTGAAGTGAACTGTAAATCAACCTTTTGCAAAACAAATCAACCACCAATTTGCAAAATATAAATTTTAAACAATTTCCAAATTTATTAATTTGGAAATAAAAGCAAGTGTCAACAAGTTCTTATATTCAAACAACAAATAACAAATTTCGAACCAACGAAATTTGTTCAAGAGGCGACAACTGTCTGGAGGAAAGCAGATATTTTCGGAATACAATACACTATCTCATTAGAGTAAACAAGAGGACCAATACCCTGCCATAAAGGACAACCGTGTGAGGCTCCTTTACGTCTAGCCCTCAACACACTTCAAGATTGGATTACCAGATTATCATCACCAGTCATATACCACCACTAATCGTTATTCCTACAGTAAGATTTATTATTTCAATTATACTCATTGTATTATTGTCAATACTTTTCTTTCTTGTTCGTTTTTAAATAAATTATTCTCTCAATACATTTAGTAGGCTCTTTGACTTATCCTCATCCCAAATTAGATTCATTCCTGAAACTAATTTAAAACGAGGAACGATAGGTATATTTAAAAAGGTTTCTCGTTATTTTTGACGTAACAATTTATAAATATTTTTTTTTTCAAATTGGCATTTTAATAACTTATAATTGTTGAGACTCTTCACTTTAGGTAAGCTAAAAACTATTGCGCAGCTATAAAGGCTTATAAAAACTACTGCGCAGCCTTTAATGTTTATAATTTTTACAACTTAAAAATAATGTGTAAAGAAAATGTACAAGAACATGAACGTGTTCATATGTACAAGTACTTGTACATGAACCCGTACAAGATCATATACATTTTCTTGTACTAGTTTCTTTTCTTGTACAAGTATTTGTACATTTTCTTGTACAAGTTCAGCTGCTGAACGTGTGCATTTTCTTGTGCAAGATCTTATACAGGGATTTTCAGTAGGGTACATACTATATTTAAATCAGTGACTGATTTTTTACTATCGAATTAATTATTTTGAACTCAAATTTAATTCAAATTTAGAGAACAGTATAAATAATATCTATAAAAATTTAAAAAAAGAGATTTTTTAAAAACAAATTAAAATAATAAAACTTTTTTTAATTTGGTGAAAAAATTCCCGGTTTGGCATAAAATTCCCGGCTTATTCCCAGTTTTTCCCGGTCGATTTAAATTCCCGGCTATTTCTCGGTTAGCAAACACCCTGAGAACAAATTAAGAATTTTTAGATTACAAATTTTTAAGTCCTTTCCTAATTTGTCAAAGAAATTTAACAAAGAATATTATACCATTAAAATAACTTATTACAATAATTTTTGAAAATAGTCATCTGACATTTTAAATTTTTAAAAACTGACTTCAAATTCGTAATCAGCGACTCGAATAACCCCTAGATACCAAGTTTTATAAGAATCCAACAATTTTTGAAAAAAGTCATCCGCCATATTGGATCCGCCATTTTGAATTTTCAAAAACTGACTTCAGATTCGTAATCAGTGTCCCTAAAAACCCCTAGATAATAAGTTTCAAACAAATCCAACTTTAAGAAAAATGTATGCATTTGGAAACCACTTTTCCGGTGGAAAGTCATGCGCTAGAGGGTTAATGTGTAATGGCTGAGTTACATAAAACAATTTGTTGAATAATATTTCTTAAAATTAAATTCTCACAAAGAATTTTATCAAGAAATTTTTAAATAATTGAATTCTTTTGACGAATTTTCAAAAAAAAATTTTTAATAATTACATTTTTCGAGGAATTCGATTAAAATTTTATTAGAAATAATTGAAATTCTGCAATGAGTTTTATTAGAGTGGAACAATTTTAGAAAAATTTTTTTGGGTTCAGACTTGACTATAATGGGATGAATGTACTACTCCAGCAGAGTATAAAACCCCTAAACGGTTTTGAAAAATTAGCAGCCGTTTGATTTTTATTGTAATTTTAAGTTTTGATAATTCAGCAATTTATTTTATTCAAGTTTAAATATTCAAAAGAGTTATTTAACTTTAATAAATTAAATAACATTTTGCGGCGTAGTGTGAAAAATTGAAAGAAATCGAATAATTTTCCCCAAAACATTAACTAAATGTAAGTTTTTTAGAATAGAATAGAATATATTTATTATGTCCTAGGTAAATACCACGAGGACAACCATTAAAAATACAGTAATTAATAAAATATATATCGTATAAAGTTAAATAAAGCCATATACATCTCATCAAGACAATAAAATACTTTGATTTACAAATTATCACAGCAACTTACATACAGATGACATACCATTCAAGATACACTCTATATACTCTATACATTCAACGAAAATAAATATTTATATAATTGTAGTTTAAATGTTTTTGGACTTTCAATATTTGTCATAGAACGAGGAAGAGAGTTCCATAAATTTATGGCAGTTACCATGAACGAGTTTTTATATTTTTCTGTTTTATTGTGTCGAACCCTAAGAATGCAAGGGGATCTTTTTAACCGCAGTTCGTTTATAAAATTTGAGTATTGGAATAAAAACTACAATTTTACTCAAGAAAGTAAGAATTTATTGCCAAAATTGCACGATTTACTGACCAAAAGCTGATTAGAGCGATTATTCAATAAATTACTGAATTATCAAAACTTAAAATTACAATAAAAATTATACGGCCGCTAATTTTTCAAAATCCTTTGGGCATTTTACTCTGCTGGGGTACGTAGTACTTTCATCCCATTATAAATAATTATAAATATAAATAATAACAATAATAAAATAATAATAATATAATAATAATTA